CAGCACCAGAAGTACAGTAGATAAAGTCTCCTCTGCAGGTGCTTTCATGGGTAGTCGTGGAACTCGTTGTACGCTCACAAATGGAGGTGACAGCAGATGGATCTCTTACGCGTGATCTGCTGGGTTGACGTCACTCACCCGTTGGCTGCCGCAGCTACATACAGATGCACACACAGGGAGAGATGCACACACACAGCTCTGTCAGCTACAAACGTGTGCACCTCCATCAGCAGTACCTGTGAATGTGTGTGCCTATGATGCGTGGTCGTACGTGCGAGCCGTTGTACGCTATACTGCTGTGCATGTAGTCACACAGCAGTCTACTGCTGTTTGTTGGCCATGGTTTGGCTAGTCCACCGCACGTGTAGTCGTATGCTAGGTCAAACTACCCCCCCCTCGAGCCAGCGCGTGGTTTGCTGGGTTCACCACACGGGTGGTATGCTTGGTCCACCGCACGCGTTGTCTGCTGGGTCACCATACGAGTGCCGGGGGGGGGTAAACCCCCCGTCGGACCCCCCCCCTCGAGCCAGCGCGTGGTCTGCTAAGTCGTAATATATGTACTGTATTTTTAACAAGCTCTCGTGAGTACCACACTTCGACGTTAGCACCGTTGACGAGGGTACGGGACGGCTGGACCCTTCTCACGATAAATGTACAATTCAGCACGCACCGCAGGCGGAAGGTGGGGCATGTAAAGAAATAAAAAGAAGAAAAAAGCCCTGGTGTTTACCCCCTCCTGTGTGACCCTGGATGGTTGTAGTTGTACGAAAAAATACACCGAAAAGTGTAGTACTCTACATACGCTTAAAAGGTAGTACACGTCTCACCACGAAAAATGGGGGGATTGTCGCCATGATAATAAATAGGACGAAAACGCACAACACACAACACCCCGCACCCGCCGGAAGTTGGTTGACGATAACATGTTCGCCTCGCAACAAAAACAGTACCTCCGAGCTGTGGTTCCTCCAACGATCGGCACCTACAGCACAGCACTGACACAGACACAAACGAACATACTTTCATGGCTTACACACAAATGCACTTGTAGACCAGTGCTGCTGCTTTGCTGTAATGGCGATAACTCCCATCTCGCTTACTTCTATTCGGCAGTGCATGCTGGAAGAACGCCATGGACGGCGTCGGGCACCAAATAGACCCTCTGGTTGTTGACCCTCTGGTTGTTTTGGCCCTTGGACAGCAGCAGTTTTGTTTCCCAGTGACCCCTCCTAACACACGAAAGCAACAGGGGTAACAAAGGTATCCGCCTCGAGCTGTGTCCATGCTCCGTCTTGTGTGGAGATTACCACCGACGAGGAGGCTGTAGTACGCTCAGAAACGCGAGCGTTCGGCACAGCCTGCAACAAAAAAGAAACGCCGAGTCTGTCTCTGCTGGGATCATCAGAGTTCGTTCGTAGTTCTTCTACCCGAGACGCAAAGGTGTCGTTCTCCGATTACATCCCTCTCCCCACACTCCCCCCCCCGGTGTTTGCCATCGGGGTTGGGTTTTCGTCGCTTGGCAACGACGTTGTAAAACAAGCCGCCGCCCCCCGGTGTTTGCCATCGGGATTGGGTTCTCGTGGCTTGGCAACGACGTTGTAAAACAAGCCGCCGCCCCCCGGTGTTTGCCATCGGGATTGGGTTCTCGTGGCTTGGCAA